TTCTGCAACCATTCACACACCCTGATTTTGAGATCACTATTACTCCTCCCTATGTATGTGTGACAACACACACACGTTTAAATGGGTAAACACAGTGGGATGTGACACAATCGTTTACATGTCTTTTAGGTTTTGGATGAAGCATTCACCTTGTTCTTTCTTTGATAGTGACCTTTGCTGCGCAATACGTTTTGTTGATGACTGATTTAAGCCTTTTTTTCAATAAAACGCTATTTGAAACACCTCTAAATGGTAAGGTGATGTAGACAAACTTTTTGTTCTGCCAGAGCTACAGTAGATCTCAGTGTACTATGAACTTTTTATCTATTTATGAGTTTAAAGGGTTATCCATTTCCTATTCATGTTTTATTTACCAATCTGACATTATCATCAATGGTGTCATTTGTACAAATACGATCAAACCTGTTAAATAATCACCTTATCAAACCCCGTTAGTATTGTACAGAGCAATAACTATAATAACTAAAGTATTGACCTGTCCACGTTAGTTGACTAAAAATGGATCGTTTGATTGAGCCATCTTCTTGTCTACTCAGAAGTATATCTCAGAAGGTAAGCTGATCGTTCTTCTCTTCTTTTCATGAGAGAATGATATGGCTTTGGAGCGTGTTAAGTTTATCCTCGTCTTCTTATTGTACTATCGAAATTTATCAAAGGGACTAATCGCTTTAATTTACAAGCATTATAAGCAAACGGTGCTGAGTTCGAGTCCCCCTCCCTAGAGTGAACATCAACTCTGAGATGCAGGTACATCCAGCTGACAAGTTTCAAATAGGACGAAACGTGCATCCTGCATTCCATTGCTAGCCACTATCTATCTTTACAAATAAATGTATGTTCTTCTATGTTATATAACCGTATGATGTATGTTTTATTTCATTTTAAAGTACCATTTTTTAGTTGTGTTATATCTTGAAATGTTGATTTCTTGATATACCGCGTACAACAGAACACTAGAATCACCAAAACCCTTCCAAGTAGCAATAAGAAGACAGAAGACTAATGAAAGGAATATTATTCCAAACAATGTCAATCATAGTACAAAATTATCAGGTATTTATAGTTTTTAGTGTGAACGAAATCATCATTACAGTCCTCCAATCCGTATACAGGGGGTTATTAGCATTATTCAATGGGGAAGCTACACGTAGGAATTCTAGAATATTCTTCCGAAAGGTGTTTGGATGGAACGTCTTCGGCTCGTTCTGAGCCTCTTACAGCTTTCTCGAGTTCACCGGTGGTCCGTTGTCACAAGTTGATACAATTTTATATGAATTCGATATCGATTCAGATATCAAAGTATAAACTAATGAAGGTTAGAAAAACTCCATAGGAACATATAGAATATTGTTTAACAACTCCCGCTTTCATAATTCACTTTCAATATGAAATCAATGAGTTGGAATTTAACAACTGTCATATTGGTTGTTTTTTTACATTCACTTAATGACAGACATTATGAATGTTACAGTTGAAAGGTTTGTTGAGAATAGTATAGATTAGAATTGACTTTTCTCATAGATTAATATCTACTGAGAAAATGATTAAAAACTGGGTAGAATTAGAATACGAAGGAATGAGCATTTACGGTCTTTTTTATATAGATAAACAACTCAGAGGTCTGGTTGAATGCCTCTGGGCTACCTGTTCCTGTCATCTATCTAGATATTCCAATAAGTTATCTGTTTTCTTGTTTGTTTTAATAGAGTATTATGGCTATTAAATCCATAATCTAATCAGGTACGTTTTTGAAAAGTTCACGACCTTTCATTGTACAAGTTACAGTCAGTCAGTCAGCTACAACATAGGACCAGGCACATTTATGCATCGGTCCAAGTTGCGATACCTCGTTAACACAACAAGATGAACAACGGATTCATAAAAGTAGTTAATTCAGAGGTGGTATTATATAAAAGAAAGATTGCATATAAGGATATAGTATAGGAAGAAAGAATTAGTTAGTAGAAAGAAAGAAATGAAGTGATTTTAATCTCTTAGTTTAAGGGAAGACAGGGAGTGTATACACCGATGCCATTGTGATCGATTCTGAGCCATATCACCAAGAGTCTCCAACCATTGGTTACGAAAGTCACGTGGACCCCAACCGAGTAGTCTGCATCTATCAACATGACTCAGACTACAAGTTAGTGACTTCAAGCACTGATGCCACGTTTTGGTTTGGCTGCCCCTAACTTTCTTCCAACCATCTCCAACACTGGTTAGCATTGCACGTCGTGGTAATCGGTGTTCAGACATACGTAACACGTGGTCCAACCATCTCAGTCGATGAAGATTCACAACCTCACCAACTGATTTACCATCATTCTCTAATGCCCTGCGTCTAACCTCACTATTACTTACCCGGTGATCCCAGAAGTGTAATGAGAGACATTGTGTTTGCTGGCAATATTCAGAGAAAAGAATGTACATTATTTAAATGTCCATTGACTAGACTGCTAACTCGTAATTGGTGGTTGTTCAATATTTATCGGTTTTCAATACCTGCCTAATTAAAGCCAATTCGTAGTTTTACCATTTCTGAATTAATGCTGTATGATTCCAGTTGGTGATGAAGTGATTGACAGATTTCAACTGTTTGTAACATCTTATTAGTTGCTCTGTCATCATAATCATACTTTAGTTATGAAATACATTATCGATCTAACGAAAGCTCAGTGGCTCCCAGAGAAGTTCAATAATGATATATAAAACTGTGAAACTAGGTGACACTTGTTTGAATCCTAAGGAGCATCAGTACCTTTCCAAGTAAAAGTTCATTCGATTTTCTTCTAATTCATAGAACTATAGTTACAAGAATAAATTGTTTGGAATTATGAAACAATAAGCACCTCACAGTATACTTTGTTAAGACTGAACTATTATCTATTAGACATATATCAGAAAGGTTTTTGTAGTAGTCATTTTAATGGTTAAGATCATGAGTCAAGTGAAGCAGTGCTCAGTGCAGTTCAACCGAGTCTGTTGTGAGATAGTAACTCACTGAAAACAAGGGTGGATGTTTCGCTTAATTTCGTGGATTAGTTAAAGTTAAACATTAACAATATTGGATGCCAACCGGTTCAGTGGTCAAAATGTTAAGCGCTCACACGCGAGACTGATAGGTTCTGGATTCGAATTTCGCGAGGTAGGAGCGTGGATGCGCACTGCTGAAAAGTCTCACAATAGAACGAAATAGCCATCCAGTGCTTCCAGGTCTTCTATGGTGGTCTAACTTCAATTGACTCAGGACCTCAACCATTGAAATTAGTCATATGTTGATAATTCGAGGAGTGTGTGATCTAATTGTCTGTGATTAAATACAGTGATTGATTCCTGAGTAATGACGGTTTAGACTTTTCTTACCGATGGAATTCTATCGACCAACTTAAATGTGGCCACTAGTTTGAATAGTTCATGACCATATGGACTATGTTGAGGATTTAGGTTGTTAAAGATAGCTCAGGCATCACTGTTCATATACATAACATAAGTGAACTCACTATTGAGAGTACTCATTCCTGATGAATGTTAAATATCATAAATGTGACAATCAATAAATCCCATTATCTTATATATTCATAGGCATTTTCTAGTGGTTCCCATATATCTGTCATTCATCTATTATTACAATGTTACTTTATATATACATTCATTTCATTCAGTATTGTTTTATTATACTGTAATACGTGTTACTTATATTGGCATAAGTAGTATATAACGCGAGTCAGGAATGTAACGTCTGACAGCAGAAGATGGGGAAGATCAAGAAAGAAAGAACGGGAACAGAAAGCAATTAGTATGAAAATGCAAGAACAATGAAGTTCGAGACAATTATTAAACATTTTACAAATTAGGTATTATAGTATGGTTTTTCTATTTTACCAAGTAACCAAGTAACTATAACCCCTTTGTCCTCACCTATGCTCTCCTTCACTGTTATACTACTGAATAAATCGAATGATTACTTCATTGAAATCCTATTGGAAATCAATAAATTCTACATATCAACTGGTTACTTGGGGGGGGGGGCAATCTACTTACAACCTTCTATGAACTAAATTTCTCATTATCTATTCATCATCATCATCGAAATGTATCTATAATCATGTTGAAACGTTTGTTCTCTCAAAATGGATGGAATATATAAGATGGATCTTCAGTTACTTAAGATCTTGATTAACAATCATCATCATCATAACACTGATCAATAGAATTTAATCACCAAGTTAGACTTAAACAACACTCTCATTGATCGTGATTTATAAGTGTAAAACTTATATATACCTCTTGATTATTCTCTCTTTCTTTTTCTTTGAAATTTTTCATAACCTATCTGTATCATCTCTATCAGTTTAATGAACAGCAAGTTTGTTACAAGAATCAATGTTCAATATTCAATTTGATTGTTACTTACTTACTTACGCCTGTTACTCCTAATGGAGCGTAAGCCGCCAACCAGCATTCTCTAACCCACTCTGTTCTCCGCCTTCTTTTCTAGTTCCATTCAATTGTTCTTTATTCTTCTCATGTCTGTCTCCATTTCTTTGGTCTTCCTCTTCTCCTTTGGATTTGAGGGTTTCAAGTGAAGACTTGCCTTGTGATACATTTAAATGCTTTGTCAATGTATATCCTAACCACTTTCAGTGTTTCTTCCTGATTTTTTTTCCTCTGCTACGATTTGATTTGTTCTCTTCCATAGTAGATTGTTACTGATAGTATCCGGCCAACGGATCCAAAGTATTTTGCGTTGACAATTGTCGATCAATACTTGTATCTTCTAGACAATGACTTTCATAGTTGTCCAAGTTAAGAATAGTATAAAATTGATGTCTTAAATAGAATTATTATCATTATGATTATGATTAGTTTCATTGTTTTAATGACAGTCAAAATCTTTTGTTTTAAGAAGTTTCTATGTGACTTATATACCATATCATTGTCATTATTATCATTATTGAATGTATATTCATAGTCTCTTTTCAAACTGCAGAAAGAAAATGTCCATAATAATAATAATAATAATAATAATAATTATTATTATTATTATTACCATTACTATTATTAGTATTACTACTATTATTATTGTTTCGTTGTCGTTGTTGTTGTTGTTGTTGTTGTTGGAATGATTGTTTCAACTTTCTACATTCTTCTATCAATACTTTCCTCTTCATGACATCCTTTTGTGTTTTCTTGACATAAGTCACCAAAATAATAAAAAAAATTGGGAACATTTTAACTTTGTCAAATTTTATTTTCATAGTTTGTTCATTTGTCATTTTATTTAGCACTTTTCTGATACTACTGAAATGAACAGTAGTAGTAGTAGTAGTAGTAGTAGTAGTAGTAGTAGTAGTAGTAGTAGTAGTAGTATTAGTAGTAGTAGTAGTAGTAGTATTGGTATTGGTATTAGTATTAGTATTAGTAGTAGTAGTAGTAGTAGTAGTAGTAGTAGTAGTAGTAGTAGTAGTAGTAGTAGTAGTAGTAGTAGTAGTAGTAGTAGTAGTAGTAGTAGTAGTAGTAGTAGTCGCTGTCACTTATATCAACACGGAGTGAGAGAGAAAGTGGGAGACGAGCAGAGAGGTAAGAATGTGTAGATATAAATATTATTACAGATCATACCATTTCATTCTTTTGTGATTATAATATAGATCAAGTGACATTTGAACACATTGACTAATTGAATTGATCAAATTTAGAAATAGAAGAATATTTGATCATTTCAGTAGTTGAGATCATGAGTCAATTGAAGCTAGATCACCAGTCTTGCTCCCAAGACTGACAAATCATGGGTTGAAATCCTGAAAGCGGGATCGTGAATGCGCACTACTAGTAGGACGAAATGGCCATCCAGTGTTTCCAGGTTCTCTATGGTGGTCTAACTTCAAATGACTCATGATCTCAACTATTGAAGTTACTACAATCTCCACAAAACCTCTTCTGATAATATGTGATAAGTTATTGATTTATTTCTTTTCTAACTTGTTAGCAAAAGTTAATTCTTTTTTAATTCATTACATTATCATTGAATGATATTGCAACTTGATCGATGGCATTCGTTCAAGATTAAGGGATTAGAAAAATATGATTATTCATTGCTCAGTGATGAATTGATTCATAGTACTAAATGATTATACACTATAAGGGTTTGTATATTCCTATATTCAATGGGATATTCTTATTTCCACTGATAGCCGCTAACCCCAAATATATAGTCAAACTGTTGATGCATACACCATATTGAAGTATCTACTCTAGGCGCTCATATCGCAATAGAAATTGATCAAAGTTAGTTCTGTATATTTAAACAATAAACATGCAATCCCTTATACATGGCAATAATAATTATTTTACTGATTGCGTAAGTTAGTGGACATGACTTATCAGACATTCAATCAATAATGTCCCTAAATGCCGTAGTACTGCTGAGAGTGAGGAGAGTCAGATCTCCCTCTCCAAGTGCTCACACATAACCACGCGATTGTCAGGGAAGTTTTACTCACTGCCCTCTCGCGGCATTACTGTTGTTTACGAAATTGAGAGAACGAAAAGCGAATGTTCCGCGCTCTAACCGGGTTGGTGGATACAGTGAGTTTACCTATGGGAGTTGGAAAACCCTGATTCCAAACCGATGGTGCACATGGGATTGAGGATCCGAAGGAAACAAATGGCATATAAACTTATTTTTGGACAGTGACTACCATGAAACTCTATCTCCTGACACTACTCAACTACCTTGTGGATTAGACCTTCAGGTCGAACGCCCCAATTGTAACCCCCTAAGAAAACTGTTTACTTCGCTTTGAGCACCTGGGTAGTATCCTATCCCATACACAAATCAAATGATTTGATGCTTCCTCATACTAATGTTTATATGTTTCAATACTGAATAAATGACCAATGAAACCTCACTGAGCTGTTCGTACATCAACTTAGAAAGTTTCATTTCAAATGAAGTATACTTTGTTCATTCTTGTATTAATTGTCATCTAAGAACCTAATAAAGAAGAATCTCAAATTTGTTCAATAAAGAATAGTATAATTTGTCCATTCACTAATTCATCCCTACTAAACAAGATCATCAGAAGGGGTCTGTGGAGATTTTTAAAAATTTCACAGATTGAAATCGTGAGTAAATTGAAACTAGACCACCATGGAAAACCTGGAAGCACTGGACGGCTGTTTCGTCCTATTATGGGACTCCTCAGTGGCAGTGCACACCCACGATCCTGCACCCTGAGAGATTCAGACCCAGGACCTATCAGTCTCGCGCCAAGATCATTTTCTCTTTTTCATGATTCAAATAAGTCGAACAAACATCATTCTATATTTAGCGCCAAACCTTGAAGCTAAATAACAATAAACAATAGATTACTTAAACTAAAAGAAATCTTTTTCAATAACCTATTTATAAGAATAATATAGATTATTATAGAAGTAAAATGAGATAGATTGTCTTGTTAAAAGTTTATCTAGTTTCATGAAAGTATTAGTGTGGATGATAGTCAGTGAAGATTGTTCATGAATGAACTTCATGAAGCTGAAAGAAGTTTATAAAGAGCTGAAAATATTCCATTCAATGATCTTTTAAAAGAACATTATAGAATATTGATATATAGATTCTTTATTAGATAAAATACATCTTGGATGATTATGATGATGATTTCGCTTTTAACTGAAAACTATAAATACCTGAGAGGTTTGTATCATAGTGGACATTGATTGGGATAACATTCCTTTTTATTCATCTTCTGTCTTCTCATTTGGGACTTGGAGGGTTCTAGCGTTCTAGTGCTCAAGTATATCAAGAACTTAAGCTCTCTATATATAACAAATACATACCTTTTTACTAAAAAAAACTGTTTATTTCCCTGTTAAAATTATGATGATAAGGCTATTAAATAAGAAAGATTGATTCAGCGAAAAGTTCTCTTTCACAGAATACATTTTCAATGTTGTACAATCATAAATATATATACTTATTCGGTGAGACTGTAATGTATGGGTGAGCCAATCAGAGGCGTTTTAGAGATTTCAAGTTTACGGTGCCAACTTCAGTGCTTAAGGCTAACGTACGATCGGTTCACAGGAAATTTTGTACAAAACGTGATCATTGAGGGGCTATAATAAATAAAACGGCAAGACTATAATTTGTGGACGAATCAATCAGGTATAAGATAATAGATCTCGGATTTCGGCGCGAAAGCCTTTCATCCATTTGGCTAAAAAATGTTCTGGCATTATAGTTGATGTCAGTTCGTGATGAAAAACCCATATTTAATCCCTAAATAAGGCAAATTACGACAACTATCGCGAACTGGATAATAAAAGCACTAGTAACACTGGATGCAGCCAGGTACTACAGTATATACGGATGATTGGAGAGTGTACAAACTCCTACATAGGCTTGGTTATGTGCATCGTGTCAATATCCACAAGTAGCATTTTGTCCACTCAACAACCGAAGTGCACATAAACAATATTGAAGCTCTATGGTCGAGGCTAAAAGGGTTTTTGAGACTTTATCACGACTCCAGAGGCTGACTATTCTGTAGCCATACGGATTATTTCCTCTAATAAATACAATACGATTTAAGGACCTCTGAACCTCTTTCTAACCTTGACGAGTTTTTGAACCACGTATAAGAAGTGTATCCACTTTATTTCCTTGGTTTTGTATAATATATTTTTACTCTATGCTGACTGTTCGCTGATTGGCTAATACTCCTCATGGTCGCTTAAGATTCGTTCAAAGGTCGTCCATAAATTAAAGTGTCGCCACTTATTCTTTCAGGATGATAATACTTAAAATAATAGTGATAATGAACTTTTGTTAGACATGATGACAGTAAGGTAGAATAAACAAAAGTATTTTTAAAAATTTTGAACAGAGTTCGAACTGCTGAGGAGTTCCGCAGTAGGACGAAATAGCCATCCAGTTATTCCAGATTTTCAATGGTGATCTAGCTTCAATTGATTAATAAATTCAACTATTAAATGATTGAAATGTTTGTGCTAATCTTCCCAGATTGTTCATTGAAATTATTCTGATCACGTGTTGTAGTGAACGAGAACACAAGTGGGGACAATCGAATATATTTGAATGTAATAATACAGAATTTCTTAGTCAAATCTTAGGACTATACATTAAATACTTCATTTGCAAAATATCCATCGATTGTCTCAAACTTGACTGTTTCTTCTGCAAATTTTAATCAATCGTCTCAAACTTCATTGTTCGTTCGTTTCCCCATCAATCATTTAATGTTCTCGTTCTCTTTCCTTTGATCTTCTTAACCTTTTGCCTCCAGGTATTTTACTTTTAACTGAAGATACATACTACTTATATTTGTCGACATCATTAGCACACACTACTATGTCACTATGAATCAAAATTTACATTAAAGAATATTTTATTTCGATTATATAGATTTGCAATTCAGTCACTTTCTATCGGATGATCTTACAACAGGAGATCAGATTCAGTATGTTTACATTTTATAGTCAGTTTGGTGCCATTGAAATAGAATTCGTCCTTCTAATTTAGTATTTGATACTTATAGTATTCAATATTACTTACTAACAGTTACTTACGCCTATTACTCCTCGTGAAGGAGCGTAGGCCGACCATCAGCATTCTCTATCCAACTCTGTCCTGGACAATCCTTTCCAGCTCCTTCCAGTTGTTATTCATCCTTTCCATATCTGATTCTATTATCCGACGTGTGTTCTTTGGCCTTCCTCTTTTCCGTTTCTCTTCAGCATTCCAAGTCGGGGCTTGCCTCGTGATTCAGTTTGATGATTTGCGTATTGTATGTCCTATCCATTTCCATCGTCTTTTCCTAATTTCTTCTTCAGCTGAAAGCTGGTTTGTTCTCTCCCACAGAAGGCTGTTGCTGATGGTATCCGGCCAATGGATGTTGAGTATCTTGCGTAGACAGCTATTCATAAATACTTGTACCTTCTTGATGGTGGTTGTATTCAATATAATTGACAAATAACTGTCTCATTACAAATATGGTTGAACTCTTCTGATACAATCATAAGCAATCTATCTTGAGACTAGTTGTTGATGTGATCTTTCTTTATCAACAATTGATGTTAACTCAAAAAACTATTTGTATCCAATAAGAATTGTATAACTATATCATAATGGTTGTGTAACTCTTCAATAATATTTACATTGATAACCTTATAAACTGGAATTAATCCAAAATTATTGATCATTTAAATGACAAACCCAATCCTTCTAAGTCAATTCAAAGTTCTATTTATTTATTTGAACACATAAATACATAGGCGCCGCACAACTCACTTGATTTGTGTGTGTTGGATGTGATACTGCTCATGTGCCCAGACCGAAGCACATGATTTTCTTAGGAGGCCATTACCGGAGTCTTCGACCTAAAGATCTGATCCACAAAGCAGTGGAGCAACGTCCGGAGATGTAGTGCCATGGTAGCCGGTAACTAACAATTAATTAATACGTCATTTATTCCATCAGAATACTGGAACCTATCAAGATTTTCCAACTATCCTAGGTAAACCCTTTATGTTCACCAACCCGGTTAATGCACTGGACATTCGACTTTTGTACTCTCAATTTTGTAAACAACAATAATGCCGCGAGAGGGCAGTGAATAAGACTTCCCTGGTAGCGGTTGTATACGTGTGGTCATATGAAAGCATTTTGAGAAGGAGATCTGACTCTCCCCCCCCCCGTCCTCGGCCGTATCACAGCATTTGAGGGCCAATTCAAATTCGAATGGGTTTTAATGACTTCCATTTTTTTTCGAAACTCAGAGTATATAGAATTCTACTTAAAATGAGTCAATTTTCATTAAAAAATGATTAACTGTTGAACAGTCCACATATGATTTTGACATAAGTATCCATTGTAAGTGATTAATTTAATGTTAGACGCATACAAATAAGGATGTGAATAACAATAATAATAATAATAATAATCGGTAATGAGTTGGATGGAGAATCTTAGTAAGTGGTCTATGCCCCCCCCATGAGGGGTAATACGCATAATATATAAGAAGAATTCAATAAAGCTTTCAATAGAATACATTGAAAACAACATTTCTACAATGAAACTCTTCATAATCTAATTATCACTTGAATTATAAATCATCTTCAGAATTCATGATTTTAACAAGCTGTATGAACAATATGAAGAAGAAGAAGAAGAAGAAGAAAAAAGCAACATAAGTGTTCATTTGATTCATTGTGAATAACAAACAAACAATCGAACACAAATAAACAATTTAGTCAATTTTAAAAAAAATACTTCATGAATTCAAGTGGATAAATTGTAAAAGAAGCGTTCATGAGTGAGACTAAATGCTTTGGATTCGAATCCTGTTAGCGGGATCGTGAATACGCACTGCTGAGGAGTCTGATAATAGGACAAAATAACTGTCCAGTAATTCCAAATTTTCAATGATGATCTAACATCAATCGGTTCATGATCTCAATCAAAAACTTAATAGTCTCCACAACCCCTATACTGATAATTAACATGTGCTCACTAATGCCTAGCTTCGTGAAGGAATTCTTGGAGTTCTTGTGCGAAGTCGTGACCAGTGGAGCTAATCCGTGTCGGGTAGAGACAGATATCTACCTCAGTACAATGGAAGATGGTTGTGCAATTTCGTGGATTGGTTGAAGCTACATAGTAACACCACTGGATGCCGGTTCAGTGGTCCAGTGGGTATAGCATTCGTGCCCAAGACCGAAGGTCCTGGGTTTGAATCCCGCGAGCGGGATCGTGGATGCGCACAGCTGAGGAGTCTGATAATAGGACGAAACGGACATCCAGTAATTCCAAGTTTTGAATGGTGATCTAACACCAATCGGTTCATGATTTCAATCAAAAAGAAAAAGAACATTTTATAAGTAAGATAAGCACTAAACGGCCATTTCATCTTAGTATGGAACATTTCAGCGATGCATATCTATGATTCTACACGCAGAACTTGAACGTATGACTTTCTATTTTGCATGTGAATACTTAACATTTAGACTACTGAGTCAGTATTCGATAGTATTAATGATGTTTAACTTCAATCGATCTATGATTTTGAACCATCTTTCATCCATTCTCTCAGATGGATAACTGTTTCAAACTCAACACAGATTGAACTCCACGGATGACGGCTTCTCACTAGAACTCCACGAAATTCATGCTGAAGCTAGTCACTAGTGAGTACATGTTTATTATCAGTATGGAAATTTGTCGAGATTGTCTCATACTAAGATGAAATGGCTGTCTAGCGCTTCCAGGTTTTTAATAATAGACTCGTCAATTCAATTGTTAAAATACTACAATCTTCACAAATACCCATATTGATTCTATGATTTTCTTCGTAAATGTTGTTTGAAAATCTAACCGTCTATTCGGCAAGACTCTAATTTATGGACGACATTCAAACAAATCCTAAGTGATCTTGTGAAATATTAGCCAATCAGGAAACAGTTAGTATAGAGTAAAAATACATTATACAAAACTAAAGAATCCAAATGGATACACTTCTTTTACAGGGTTCAAAAACTTGTCAAGGTTAGAGAGAGTTTTAAAGGTTCTAAAATCGTAATGAATACAGTAGAGGAAATCATCCATATTGACTCCATAGTAATAGGCTTCTGGAGCTATGATAAGGTCGGAGAAATTCTTCCAGCCTCTATCACATAGTTGCAATATTGTTTGTATCCACTACGATTGTGTAAGCTTGTCATTTTTATTTCGCATATATCTCTGTTGGAGACGTTAGATCATCAGAACTCATTTGAGAAAGGACCTAATTTTGTAATTTTATTTAGAAAATTTGAATTTCTTTGTTTTCGCGCCAAACGCGCTCTTATCACCTTCATGTTGTATTTCCCACTGGGAAATATCTCAAATGCTATCTGTCCGTTGCGTCTTTTAGTAGGCCATTTGGTAGCTCTCCTCAAGGACGGTTTTGTACTGTATATATACGTTTTGAATTACGTTTGTTGTGATCGCTCGTTTCTGGCTGTTTGCAGAATGTACTTCCCATTCCAAACTTGGACTTCTCCCTCTAGTTAGCGGGGCTGGGACGCATCAATAGATAGCTTACTGGTTTTTGGTCACCGAGTTTTGTTTCTCGTTCGCCGATTAAGTGAACTCATGATAGCTTCAAACCTAGCAAGCCTATCGAGTCTCTGAATCATTGACTGTTCGTTCCGTTCCGAGTAAGACGAATCGGTAGTAGCATTCAAGTTAACGAACATAACATCAAGATATATTTCTTTGATTTAAAATAAGCTTTTTTACTTATTGAAAGAGTGTAATAGGAAACTACAGCAGGGTCGGTATTACCTTTTATTTTGAGCCATATTTGAAAATATCTCAACCCATTAAATTGCATGATCTCTGTTACCTCAACCGAGCAATCTTGATAAGTCAACAGATACTCTTCTTATACATCCATCTTTCATCCCATAGCACCATGTCCTCAACTTTTCTTAACTAGGGTATTCTGGTAAAAAAAATACTCTGTATGGAATCCTCTGATTCAATATTCGTCAAATATGTCACCGTTACCCAGGCTGATCCTTCATGCTTATGACGTCAAGTGAAATATCATCACCACATTCCGATATAGACACAATTTAAATGGTATTCTCCCTTATATTTAAGGAGCATTTTAGAAACAAGCGATTGAACATAGATAAACATCGAATACCTTCCACATGGAGAAACCAAATATGGAACAAAAGCGTCCTGGCTGGCAACATCTAAAGGTTCTCACAAACCCATTTAGACAGTGATAAAAGTAATTCTCTTGAAGTAGATAGTTCAGTAGATAATCAACACTGACTTAGTTCATTTAAATGAACTTCACCAACTAGATAAACACAGTCAATCACTCATGTCATTTCGTTCGTACTACTCAGTAAATGTAAGATGATTTATCAACCTACCCTACACCCAGAGCTATTAGTCTCACACCTTTTCATCTCTGCACATAACCAAGTATGCTATTCTATTCTAACAATATACTGTCTGTTTCTTGATTCACCGTTTAGTGTGTTAATGTGTATTATCTGACTATATAAAAGGTTACTATCAATGTCATCAGCTTCTACTGTATTTAGTAATTTAAATACATGCACTACTGAACATCAACGATAAATTAAGTATAGATTACATCACTCGTTAGTTTTAGTTACATAACCACTAAAAACCATGGAGCATTGGATAGTTGTTTCCCCTTAGTCTATGAATCCCCAGCAGTGCGCATATACGAATCTGACCACGAGCATTCGATTTCTTGAGTGAGTACTCAACCTCTGGACCAGAATCCAGTGATTTACACATTTGAATTCAATCAATTCACGAAACTAAGCGATTATCTTCCATAATTCAATCTTCGGGCTGTTGAACTGTTTCCTGGATATTGAATGCTAGACAAAGAGTTTATAAAACATTCGTCTTGAACATTTTGCTACTTATAAGTAGCCTAACTGTTATTTACGAAAAACTTCCTGAACTGACAATTATAGATGTATGACTATGCAAGAATTGACAACCTACACAGTAAAACCATACGTACATGTATAAAGGGATTTAAGTCTGTTATAGTCTAAAAGCCTGAAGGTTTGTTGTATCGTTTAAATTCGAGTGACAGAATCTATATTTCAGTATTTTTCAAGAATTTTTGATACACACAGTTTTCACGCAACTCATTAGACCAGACGATGTTGTCTAGAATTACAACAAAAGCTTCGCAATTCAGCCATCCACCCCGTAGAACACAATTATTTATTTATTTGAACATATAAATATTGGTACAAGAGGGAACCAAATATATATGCGCCACACAAATCTCATTCGATATGTGTGAGCGCTGTGGTACTGCCCGGGTGCCCAAACCGAAGCAGGTGGTTTCCTTAGGCGGCCACACCCCGAGCCTTCGACCTGAAGGTCTGATACACAAGGCAATGGAGCATCGTAAAGAGATGCAGTCCCATGGAAGCCGGTGACCGAAAATTGGTTCATACGCCATTTGTTCCCGCAGGATACTGGAGCCTATGTGCACCATTGGTTTGGAATCCGATTAAAGCGCCGGACATTCGCTTTTCGTCCTCCCATTTTCGTAAACAACACCCCCACCACGAGAAGGCAGTGAGTAGGACTTCCCTGTCATAGGCTTTATACGCGTGGCCATGTGAAAGCATTTCGAAAGGGAGGGCGGGCCCATCCCACTCTCGGCCATACCAGGGCATTTGGTGGCTAGAACAATAACTGCTGGAAAAGGGAGAAATCTCCGAAAAACATAACGTTACTCAGCCTAGTTAAGTGGTCAGCCGAACCTCTGCATTACTAACATGGTGTTGCCACTGGATGTCAGCAATCCTTCGGAGACAACAATGATCAAACACAGAGAGTCGTCTAACATCCTCAACTCGGAGAGGCCAGGTTTCACAAGCACAGAACAAAACTGCTCTCACCGACACATTGTAGATCCGACCTTTTACAGCCAGACTAACATCACGAAGGCGACAAAGATGGTTCAGATTAGCACAAGCCGCTCTGGCTTTGACTAGACGTGAACTGATCTCATCAATCACGCCACCAACAGCACTTATGCTGGCTTTTTTGATTGAACATTCTAAAATAAAATTCATGAGTTTAATTCTACAATAACGTGGATTGGTTTGAGTTAGTCATTAATACCGTTGGATGCTGGCTCAGTAGTCTAGAGGTCAGGCGTTCGCACGTGGAACCTTAAGTCCTTGGGTTCGAATCCCGAGTGCGGAATCGTGGATGCGCACTGATAAGGAGTCATATATAACCAGTGCTTCCAGGGTGATTAAGCTAAAATGGATTCATGGATTCAACCACTAGATTATTACAATTTCAAAAAACCCTCATTCTGACAATATTGAAATCCATAATAATTTGATAAAAAGCATGGAATTCCTTGCACGTAAACTTTCAAATCGAATGCACCACAGAGCTTTATTTGTAAACTTAAAAAACGGAATTCCATGCTTTTCATAAAATTTGTTGTATCTAGAACACAGATTTTTGATATACCACGTACAACCTGAGCACTTGAACGCTAAAACCCTCCAAGTCGCAAATGAGAAGACAGAAGATGAATGAGAAGGAATGTTATTCCAATCAATGTCCAATATGGTACAAAACTCTCAGGTATTTATAATTTTCAGTAAAAGCAAAATCATCACCATAGTCACCCAAGACGCATCTTATCTAATAAGGAAGCTATATATCAAGATTTTGTAATGTTCTTCCAAAAGATGATTGGATGGAATATCTTCGGCTCTTTCTGAGTTTCTTAGAGCTTCGTCGAGTTCACCCATGAGCCGACCTTACAAATTTTCTATGAATTTCAATATTGTTTGTAGAATTAAACTCATGAGGGGAGACTATAATTTATGGACAAACCAATCAGGTATAAGATAACAGGTCTCGAATTTTGACGCAAAATTGACTCAACCATTTGGCTAGATACCATTTTGGTATTATAGCTGATGTCAGTTAGTGATGAAAACCCTAAATCTAATTAGTAAATCTTGATCATCAACTGTAAATTACACTAATTTATAACCCTCATTTGGTCCTAGCGAACATACATCGTCCATTGAGTAAACAAAATTAAGGTGAATTGAAACAGAAGCAGAGAAGATTACATGTTTATAATTTCCGAGTATATTCTAAAAAATTCGCAAAATGAGAAGTCTAACAGCTTTAAATAGTGTAATAGCTCGGTATTTAATTGATAGTTTGTATATAATCAATGTTTCACAATACTTTAAAATGAGTCAACAGACAAAATGGCATAGCTTCTAATCGTTTCGCTGAATTAGTAACATTTAAAACACTATGTTGAATTGCTAAGATGGCCCCCAAATGCCCTGGTACGGCCGAGGATAGGGAGAGTCAGCTCTCCCTCTCCAAATGCTCTCACATGGCTACGTGCATACAACCAATGCCTTCTCACGGCATTACTGTTGTTTATGAAAAGCGAATGTCCAGCACTTTAACCAGGTTGGTGGATATGGAGGATTCACCCAGGGCAGTTGGAAAACTCTGGTTCCAAATCAATGGTGCACATGGGCTCTCACCTTCTACTGCTGCTCCACTACCGTTAGGTCGAAGGCTCCGGGTGTGGCACCCTAAGGAGACCACCTGCTTCGGTCTGGGAACACGGGCAGTACCATAGCCCACATACACAAATCAAGTGACCTGTGTGGCGCCTATGTGTTTGATGCCCTTATGCACCAATAACTATATGTTTAAATAAAATAAAATAAGAACCCTTATTACAAGCTTTAATTTGATCCATAGACTATTACTATACAATTTACAGTTCTTGAGTTATGCCAGTCTATTAATGACAGTTTCTCACATTCACAGCCAGTTTTGGCTATGGCTATGTTATAGTACGATGTGGTCTGTTTGGTTTGTATACAAATCCAGTATGTTTGAAATACATTATTCATATCGCGGAGGCTGGGATTGATGTTCTGAACTCTAACAGGCAGGAAGAATCGACAGAGATTCTAGACTGCTCGTACAGGTTTATGCGTCATTGCTCCGGTCGACAAATCACTGTTCTCTAATTGGCGGTACCATCACGTTATATTATTAATACGGTTACACGATATAACAGTAACCTAATAGTATTTGTTAATAAACCTTATTTTTCTTAAAGCTTTCCAATTTGTTGTATAAGACCAGTCTTATTTCCAAAGGTGACAACTGGTATTGATAAGTTCATTCACTACTAACTAAATCCACAACTTCATATCCTATTTGAATTTCGCTAAGCAGCAATACAGGCAAACCGCTAAACTAAGGAATGTTTATAAATCCAGATTGTCTGGTTAGTATCCTCATGATTACTGAAACCAGTGATTGCAGATATTGAGTGACATCGCTCGCAACTGGTCACAATGGTATATATATATATACATTTCCTCTTTAATTCTCTCCTAGCTTCTTTAGCACAAATATTCCTTCGTAGATGCATTCTCTTCACTTCGTCTTTTTAAACTATATGATTAATATTTAAACTTTCTCACTATTATTGTTATTATGAGATTATTTCGACTCATTTTGTCGATTTCGTTGTTTCAAGCAGGTACCAAATACATATGCGCCACACGAGTCACTTGATTTGTGTGTGGCCTGTGATACTGCCCGGGTGCCCAGACCGAAGGAGGTGGTTTTCTTACGGTATCACACTCGGAGCCTTCGACCTAAATGTCTGATCCACAAGGCAGTGGAGCAACGGTAGGAGATACAGTCCCATGGTAGTCGGTCACCAATAATTGGTTCATACGCCTTTTGTTGTTTCAAGATGCTGGAGCCCATGTGCACCATCGATTTGAAACCCGTGTTTTCCAACGGCCCTAAGTGGATCCTCCATATCCACCAACCCGACTAACGCACCGGACATTCGCTTTTCGTCCTCTCAATTTCGTAAACAGCACCCCCACCGCGAGAAGGCAATAAGTAGGACTTCTCTAGTAATTGTTGTATGCACGTGGCCATGTGAGAGCATTTGGAGAGAGCGAGCTGACTCTCCCCACACTCGGCCATACCAGGGTATTTGGAGGCAATTAATTAGTAAATTATAGTAACTTGTAGGTTAACATATATTTGTACCACGTCCGACGTTCATTAGGACTACTGACAGTCAGATGTATGGTAGAATGTAACAAATATCCAGGTCCATTATTATTATTATGTAATCAATATAGAGCCCCCAAATGCCCTGGTATGGCCGAGAGTGGGGAGAGTCCGCTCTCCCTCTCCAAATGCTCTCACACAGCCACGCATATATAGCTTCTGTCAGGGAAGTCCTACTCACTGCCTTCACGTGGCGGGGGTGTTTTTTACAAAAATGAGAGGACGAAAAGCGAATGTCCGGCGCTTTAACCGGATTCCAAACCAATGGTGCACATGGGCTCCAGTATCCTGCAGGAACAAATGGCGTATGAACCAATCGTTGGTCACCGGCCTCCATGTGACTACATCTCCTTACGATGCTCCACTGCCTTGTGTATCAGACCTTCAGGTCAAAGGCTCGGGAGGTGGCCGCCCCCTAAGAAAACCACCTGCTTCGGTTTGGGCACCTGGGCAGTATCACAGTCCTCACACATATCGAATGAGATTTGTGTAGAGATAGAAGAATAGGAGATTCATAATACATTTTGTATTCCACAACAACAACAACCAAAAAATAACCAATAATGTTACTATTTACAATAAATAGTCAAAAATTGAGCTGATTGTCTTTTACACAGCTAAATGTAAATTAATCCAATCACATCATATAGGATGTTTTTTTCTTTTCTTCTTTTTTAAACTATCCGATTTTATATCCTCTAATAGTATACTGGATTCAGAAGCGGATCGTTTACGTTTAGATAATATTGATGTTTCTATTGTTTCTACATAAATATGATCACCATTTGTTAACATTGAATTTTCAACAAGATCAATCGATTCTGAATGATGACGTTTTTTCTTTTTCTTCATTGTTGTACTTTTCTCTTCTTTATCATCATTTATCAGTTGATGTTGATTCATTTCAGTTGTTTGTTGTTGTTGTTGTTGATCTAATTCTCCTTCATCATGATTCACTATTTCATTCGGATCATTAGAAACACCATCCACAACAGTAGTAGTGGTAGTGATGTTCCCATTTATTAAATTACGCTTTTTCTTACGTTTCTTCTTACTATCTAATTTAGGTGTTTCAACTGTTGTGACAGCTGCTTCTTCTTCTTCTTCTTGACTATCTGAATCTCTTTTATTCAGTGTTTTGATAGCTTTTTTCTTCATTCGTTGAATATATTTATTCACCTTGATAAAAAAAAATATCCAAAGGAAAAAGTGGATAGGGATTGAATCATCTGAATATTAATTTTAAGCATAGAATATAAAATTGTTCAACAAAGCACTCTATTGAACATCAGATCTTACATATTAATATTGATAGACAATAGATGATTATTAGAATCAAAGTTATGCAATAATGTTGGAACGTTGACATTAACATTCATTAAGGACATAAAAAGTCAATGAGACAACTATTGATAACTATATAGTGTGAAAAAGCTATCTTTTTTTTCAATTTCGAGAGTTCTCAACATTTCCGATAATCCAGAATCTCCGAGTTCCACGATGAGCATGATGCTTATAGACGTTTGAATTGGAACACCACGACGTTTACAGTTTCAGTTTTAATTAGTTAGTAACGGAATGCAACTAACATGCCAGTTCGTTGATGATAGCTGTCTCACACTTCTTATATAGTATAACTCCACCGCCGTTAACTCTCCCTATAATTTTAGGGGGCTCTTTATAAAGATAGTCACAAATGAGCATAGAGTCACTATTGCTTACTTTAAGGAGTCTTGTGGAGATTGATTTAATTTGTAGGTTGTATTCGTCACAGGTTGATCTCAGTCGGAAAACCATTGAAAACCAACAAATAAAGGACAGTCGTTTCGTCCCAACGTGAGACTCCTCAGAAGTGCGCACCTACAATGAAGATATTTGTGACCAGTCTACTCTGATTTTCTGATGGATTTGGAGAAGTGGGAATTCAAGTTGAGTGTCAGTTGACAACGTGATAAATGTACGGAAAAAAGTCAGTAAATCCAGGTCTTGTAGTGAAAGCGAAAACACAACAACTATGACCTAAAGAGTTGTAATGATTCAGTTTTTCTTGTTTTCAGTACATTTTAAGACTGGTTCTGTACGAGGGGCATCCACTGAACTGATAGGTGCCAAGAAACGTATCCCTAGGCGCAATGAGAAGTGAATACAGCTTAAACGTATGCTAATGAAAAGCCTACGCAATGATCGTGAGCAGCGGTGGGTAGCGAAAGCAGAGGTGGAAAAAGGTAGAAGCGATAGGTAGTAGTAGACAACTGTTCTGACTTATCAAGGAAAGGGGTATTAAAAATCCGGCTGTTAGTGAAACTATCTCGGGAAAAGATGGGACTATTATTCACTCTCAATCCAAGAGATTCAACTGAGGGGGGAGAACTTTTTAGGGAACAGTTCAACAGGCTTTCAGCCACACCACAGTTACTGTCATCAGAATTGGTTAATTCAAGTGTTCGTCAGGATTGTTCGTTTCCCTCATTTAACTTTGCCATAGGCATGCTTATTGTCTAACTTTTCACGGATTGATCTTCTACTAGAGGATTCATTTGTTGGCTTAGGATACACAGAGGGCATAGTTTAGTCTGGTGAAAACGCTAACAAAATGTTGTGTTATAACTACTTTAAGCAAAAATGCAAGCATGTTTGGGATGTAGTTCTCTCTTTCCAAATATAAAATAGTTTTCGGATTGACTTTTGTCAGGGCCTGAAATAATGATCGAGAGTAAAGTAGTTGAGCGTATCAATAGTCTCAATTATATTGGAAATCTCATTAGTTCTGACGAAATCTTGGCACGGATTCAAAGGGACCAATTGGCTTGTGTTAACTTGGGCCACTTGTAGCCTGAGAGAGATATCGGCCAAGTAAGAACTGACAAATATGTGGACCGGTTCAAGCTGCAACACCATATCAACAGGAAAAATGCCAGAGAAGTAGTGACAGTATGAGTGGTTGGTAATATCTTTCAAGAATGAATCCGTGGGACAAGTAGCAAGCCCCCAAATGCCCTGGTATGGCCGAGAGTGGAGAGAGTCCGCTCTCCCTCTCGAAATACTCTCACACGGCCATGTGTATATAGCCTTTGCCAGGGAAGTCCTATTCACTGCCTTCTCGTGGCAGGGGTGTTGTTTACGAAATTAAGAGGACGAAAAGCGAATGTCCGGCGCTTTAACCGGATTCCAAACCAATGGTGCACATAGGCTCCAGTATCCTGTGGGAACAAATGGCGTATGAATCAATTGTTGGTCACCGGCTTCCATGGGACTGCATCTCCTTACGATGCTCCACTGTCTTGTGGATCAGACCTTCAGGTCGAAGGTTCGGGGTGTGGCCCCCTAAGGAAACCACTTGGTTCGGTTTGGGCACCCGGGCAATATCACAGCCCTCACACATATCGAATGATATTTGTGTGGCGCATATGTTATTTGGTGCCTCTTTGTACCATTATCTATGTGTTGAAATAAATAAATAAATAAAACAAGAAACAAGAACTATAAGATAATTTTACAACTTGAAATCTAATAGAAGACACATACTGAACTATTCTGACCCACTTTCACCGATTCTGAGCTACGTCAACTTTTAAAAGTTACGTTTCACAACAGAAAAGTAGAACAGAACGAATTGCTGAGCAGTATAGTCGTCTTTTAATATGCAGACAGACAACTTGCCTACGCCATAGGTGATACAGGTTGGTAGAAGCTAACCAAACTTTTAGAGTTGGACAGTTATTCCGGCAACTGTAGAAAGAAACACGTTGAGCAAAATGGATTATTCAGCAGTACGGACATTTTCGTTCTGTTGATGATTCTTAGAATTTTTTATGGATTAATGCGTGAAACTAAAAGTTTATATTCTACGAAATTTAGTAAGTAAATAAATGAGTAACGCTTGATCAACGTGCTCAAAGTAAACTTTCTGTTTGCTACATCAACGGAGGTACGATTAACTAACAGTTGAATAAATAATTAAAGACTAGTACACTAACCTCAGCAATTGCGCGCGCCATAGCTTCAGCATTTGTAGGGGGCGTGGTGCCAGTCTCAAAATAATTCAGTCTATCCTCAATTTGTTGCTTCAAATGTTTTCCATAGATATCACAAAGCACTTCACTAAAGCAGTCGATTCGAGAGGCTATAGCACATTTGGCAGCCAAAAATCTAGAGATCTTCCCCTTATTTTCTCGCGCAGCACGAGTGATAAATTGACTATGATAAATCAATCCATATTTTGGTGTGGCACCACGAGTTCGTAATGCTCTGAATAACGCTTTTTCCGCCCCTAATATCTGAATTGTCGAGGCAGGGAATTTAGCCAAGTTCGTAAGAGATCCCGCATGAGCAATTAGCCTTGCACTTACTCTGTCTCCAATCATTGTGCTCAAGTTTGGGGCAACACCAGCAAGTTTCTTTGCTAAATACTCTTGTGTTAGTCTTCTACGTTCAATTAATGCATTAATTTTTTCAGTGAATGTTGCCAAATTCTCAGCATCATCATCCGTAATATCAAAGCCTACATGCAATTAAAATCAGAAACACAATGTCAACATACCAACGGATGATTTAGCAGACTCAATTATATCTGAAGCAACTTGACTATTAGTTAAAGCCTCCAATGCTTCAAGATTTTCTTCTGTTGCACCAGCTCGGGTGCGAATAAGACCGATTACTTTAACAAAAGTTGGATTGTCAGGAACAATTTTTGACAATTCTGGGAAATGATAAGAGAACCATTCTTTGACACGCATGCAAAAGTTATTCACATCTTTATCTAATTGGTCTAGTAAATTTATGGACTGAATAATCATATTGTCGTTTCTAAACAAATAGATAAGTAAAGGATAAAAATAAACAAACCTGTATATATTAAATTTCACTTTGGCTCTAGAGTAACTATGACCCAAACCTATTTGAGCTTTTGATTCATCGAAATGCGAAAATTCTTTGATGTATTTAGGAAAGTAAAATCGGAGAGCCCGAAAGACTTCGTGAAGAATGGATTCAGATGAACATGCAATAGTTTCAGGCAATCCAACTTCAGGCGCTTTAAGAGATTCAGCAAGTTTCCGGTCTGAGACGCACAGCAAAACATCGGAAGCAGGTAAATTCTCCTCTATGAATGTTTTAAGTTCCTGTGGAACAACACCTTCTGATATCCCATTACAATTTTGTAGAGCACTAGCTGAGGAGGAGAAAGGCACAAATGCGTGCAGTTTAAAACATTTCATAAACTGTTCTTCATCGTTTAACAGATCTGCAGCTAACTGTTGTAACGCAGCAACGGCATCTGAAGTTTCTAATGATTTGACTTTAACTCGGAACAGTGCATATCCTAACGCGTGCTCATACAGAATATAGACCTTCTGCAAAGAAAACAGGCATCATAAAAATGTATACTACAAGATGAAATATTTTTAGTGAAAACATTACAATCAAACCAACGGATCAAAAGTATATTTATCCTGTGTGATTGTTAGCGGGACATAGACTAGATTAAAGCATGCTCAATGCATGATTGCTTTGGTGCACGCTGATTGGCTAATTCTTAACCAATCAGCACTAGCCGATAGTTGGAGAATACTCTGGAATCTTCTTATGTAAAAACTATAAATATACTGACGTTTTCCCTATTGCGCTTCTGACTTACATCTTGCCTCCATCTAACCTTGTTATTTGGAATATAATCTCCTTCCTGTTCAACCGTGTTCTGATTTGGGGACTTGTCGAGTGAATCGGTGTCCAAGAATACTAAGCAATAGGAATAGCTGGGTCATTACCGTAAGAGAGAGAGAGAGTTATAACAGTGATTTACTTACCTACTTTGGGAAAGATCCCAACCCTCACGCGAATCGAATGATGTGTGGCGTATATATATTTGGTGCCTCCTTGTACCAGTATCCGCGTTTAAATAAAAACAAAACTTGCCATGAGTGGTGCTTTCGTAACATAAAAACTTATTTCCCATTGATAAGTCAGTTACGTTATCATTGGATTTTTAACTTTATTTTGACTGTTATACTGAATGGTGTTCTTTGCATTTAGTTAATAAATCCAAACAACCAGTTCATGTGATCTAACTGGAATCAGTTAGAGTTAGACACGCAAAATTTAATATTCCGTTTTATAATGAATGGAATAATATACCACCCCTTTGGTTGTATAATATGGAGTTTTTCGAAGTGTTTATAAACGTTAAGTGTATTGAGTTTCAAGAAACAATCACGAGACTTTGGTCTGACAGTCGACGAGTAAAAAGAAAACCGACTTGTTAGTAAAATCGGACGAAAAGCAGCTGCTAACATGAAATGAAAAACCCTTGCAAAATGCAGATAAATGAAAACGTTGACTTCATGAGTTGTATATCGTTTGAGAAAATACCATAATTACCATGGCGATTTACTTTTGCAAAATACTAATGAGTAATCTTAACTTACATGATAATTTAAATTACCTGACATTTAACAAACATATTAAAGAAATACTATTACTGTGCCATATGTTATTCCACTACATACAGTAGTGATGTGTGATTTACTTACCAAGTTGAGTGATGCACCTGAAATCAGATCACTATTTGTTAGAACTAGTCTCCACTGAACTGTGAAAATCGAAGATGGGCAGTGGTTGAATGTGTAGATTAGCAAATTGTCTTTCAATTAATTTTGTGATTTTGCAAGTTAAAATAGGCAGAGACGGTAAGGCAAGAAATGACCATGATGGACCTAGTAATAACTGAAACTTACACCATTCTAAGTGAACGCAATTGTATTACGCAAAGACTAATATAGGACATACTGTTAGGTACTTAGAATAAACAGCCTTAACAATATCAGGTCAGTACATTTTGAATCCGATGGTCGATAACACTCAACACCTCTACTCAGTCAGTCATAAGTAGTGTAAGCAACGCCCTTGTTTGACACCATAGAAGAGATAACCAGACTGGTTTTTTCATGCTACATAACGTTTGATCACACCGAACTGCTGGATCCTAGAACAGCAACACTAACACACTACACAATATCTAATCACAAATTAAGGTGACGCCATTTTGATGTTCGATAAGAGCAGTATATGAACCTTATGAAAGGATTTAAAGGAAAAGTAAAGCTCAAGTAACTTTTGGCTCGCAACTGCTGTAACATGAAGCTTGAACAAACGATAGTTTTGCTACAAACTGCGATATGCTGCTTAGACATTTTTGTGAAGTAGCAAGGCTCTCCCTCTACAAAAACCTTAGAATTTGTGATAATGAAGAGGCCACAAACTGTAGTACTGGATTAAAATTGACGGGGCTAGACTCCAAAGTACATTGGATGAAAACATTAAACTGGAATGTTTCACTAACATTGTACTGTTGTCAGAGGCTCTTGAAGTTCAACAGGACTGAAGTATTAATTTATATTTTTACTAAGTATGAAAAACCTCCATAATACCAAAAGATGTAGTTTTTCATCACAAGTTCGAACTTCCTGCACTAACCTTCGGTAAAACGTTGTTTTTATTATTGACAAATAAATCGCTCATTTCTAATATTAAAACACGATAGCATCTTGGAGTCTTTCGGTACAAAACACAAAAACCACTTAGTGCTATTCATACGTTATGTAATGCACTACTTTTCTATAGATACGTACTCAAACTCCACCGATGGACATTGCCATCTAATTGGAATAATCCTAGTTACTCCAATTAATAAACAAGATTTAAATCATGAAAATCGGATGGACCGTTTACCTTCATAAGTACGGCTTTCAGGACTCAAAGATATTTACACAAGTATGCAAACCGAAATGTTAAAAAATAGCCAAAGCCATCGCATAGCGTGCACGTACCGTCATAATCTCAAATCATCGCGCGTATGACCTACAAATTCCGATCTGGATTAAATATTTCAGTCTTCAGTAATGAGGATAGGAGGTCTATCGACCTATATTATTCCTTGCAGTTTGTAACACTGTGTAGGTTCAAACTCGTTTTGAATATATCAACAGAAGATGCCATGAGCCATGCTCAAAAGTATGCGTTTCTCCTGGTTCGCTTGTTTTTAAGGTGTTCAAATGGTTCAAAATGGTTCGAATTTCTAGATTAAGTAATATACCTCTGGAAATAAGTGATCGAAAAAATATTCATAAACAGTTAGAACAGTTGGTACCAGTCATTCCGATACCACTAAGTGGGAACGGTTAGTCAGTCAGCATAGATAGTTGTGTTCTGGGAGAGAATTTCAGTAATTCACTACTTGCAGATTTTCACGATACGACGGGTCAGAATAGACAATGATGTGACTTCCACGCAAGGTCTTATAAAACAAACAGTCACATCATGACAAATCTACAGGTATGGGTTTAGGCTTATTATTATAGTAACAAAGATAAACGTACGAATAACGATTTAGACCGCAATTATACCTACTCATGGAATAAGCTATCCTCATTTACGGAGTAAATGACTTTTGCCTCGTATTTTGCGTTTAAAGTTTTCTGGGACCCAGTTCATTGGAAAGCTGGAAAACTAAAGGTGGGTTAGGTCAAAACCGTTGCAAGTAATTTCGGCTGTGTTCAAATTATCTCTCTCCCTTTTGACAAATGATTAGTTTGTATTCGTTTAGGATGTATCTACCAGTTATCGCATGGCCTTGATTATACCAAGCATTTAGACACCAAACAGGCTTGGAAGTAAATATGTACAGGTATTTTATGAGTTTTAAGCATCATTACTATTACCGGATCGTCGCTCAACTTGTCGGCTCACAATACGTAGGGTTTATGAGCACGAAATTCCAGCAATCTGGATACCACAACTTTATTTGATCGTATCAAACTGTTTCTGTAACTATTCCGTTGAAAAAAAATCAGGAACGCCCAACTCCATCGTCTGTATGAATGTTTTATGGAGAGCAAGTTGAGAAACAAGTAGTTGTGGTTGACAAACACGTGAGTCGCGTATTAATCAGAAGACGAAAGTAGGAAGTTCACTGTTTACATGAAATAAAACAGTAAACAACCAGTTTCAGTACTTTATCAGTATTTTTATCAGTTTCAGCACTTTTATCTTAACAGCAGGCTATGTAAAATGGTTCTTCCATTTGGTAGCATATAAGTGGTTACTGCAAACTAGACTAAATCCATGACTTCGGATCCTTCATAATAGCGCAAACTGATTGTTCGAAGTTTAACGTGCAAAAACATGTTTTTCGACGTCTCAATACGCTATCTTTTGCGGTTAGTATTCGAACGGCTAATACTAGTCTGTAAACATATTCACTAAATTCTGAAACTAAAAACAAACAAACGCGCTTGTGGTTTCAATATTCCTGATTCCCAAATAAATGAACAGATAAATGGTTGTGTTGATCACGTCGGGCTTACCAACGAAGGTCTCCAACGTAGGGATCTGTAATCATGGTCTGGATGCCTACTTGCGTTGAACGGAACAGGCAAGACCAACCAGCTTACCTTACAGTTACACTTTCAGATTACTGCCCAACGTGGACCACCTTTTCATTGTAACCAAGTACCATGACTACTTTAGTGACCGTACGATACCAACAACTTTACTACAGAAATATATTGATGCGCGTACAAGAAGAAAAGGGCAACCACCTGCTAATGCCCGCCAGTCCACGGCATGCAACTAATAATACGCGCTGTTTTTCCTCAATCTTGATGAGGATCGGTGAACTGTTCGATATTCAGCAACCCGACTGCCGGATGACTTGGGTAGGTCACAGTGACAGTTCACCGACCTTACAGCTTTCATTATCTAATACGTTATAGAAAAGTTCGCGAGTTAATCAAACTGATAAACATCATCAACACTTATTGTTTGCACGCACCTAATGCTCGCTACTTTGGGGACGATAAACATATCCGCATGTCAGTCGGAAACAAAACTGAGGAATCGACTGAAATGGTTGGACAAGCGTTACAAAATCCAACCTCGGCATGAGCAGACAAACGTCAACCGTCCCAATACACCAACTTCATTGACAATGTTAGTCCATTCATTAGCCTAGGATGGAATTCACAAGGTGCTGTTAATTTTTTCAATAACAGAACAATTTAGTCGTTTGAAGACAGAACGTTCATAGGACAGGGCATCAGTCGGACGTTGACAAGGATTATCTGACTATTTCTGCAAGAAGAGCATCTCCATTGTGTGCCATTTGTTGAAATAATCAGGGAATAACTCATTTTTGTCTGGGTTAGTATCCGATAGTGATGACCTGGGACCATTCTCACATAATTCTTGAAACATATACATCATGTTTAGATTCTAGTTCTCGAAAACGGACCGAAACATCTTTTGTGAAGTTTATATCTCCAATCGCTTTGACTTGTAGTAGGCGTTGAGTCGCGATTGACTATGATCACCACTATAGGAAGAATACGTACCAGATATTAGGTTTGACCCCTTCGTAGACCAAAAACTAAAAGACAAATGAATGTCGTAATACAATATATTTTTAGCAATTTCGTGGTATCGAAATAATACCGAGATCGCGCCAAATAGTACAAGCGAGACTACGTAGCGTAAACGAAAGCGTGCGAGGTCACAGTTAACGAAAGAAGGTATGATTTTAGTACAGTTAAACAAACAGGTACAGTAAAACAATCCCTAGTACAATTGGTTTTAACAATAACTGCTTCCATTACACCAATCGCGTTCTCTTCATAAAAGCAGGTCACCACAGTATCCCCTCGCTAGAAAGGGTTTACACTTTCGATACGTGGCGGTATTGTTCGTGGGACTGTTCAGCAAGCGTGCGATTGTAAGACGAAAGTGTTGGCGGAACAGGAAGCGATCGTTGATCCTCGAGTTGCCGCTGAAATTCTTTCACGTAAAACGGTACCAAGAGAAACGTGCTGTATTTGTTGCTCGAGTTAGCATACCACACCAGAGTGGTTTATATCCAAGGTCTGAAGATTGCGTCCGTAGGGGTTCGGACCAGAAACGCTGCAGACGTAGGACGAAACCACGTTGAGTCAATAAACCAGAAGCGACCATAAAAACCAAGTGCGAGTCCAAATGTATTCCAGGCAATATTCGGAACAAGAAAATTGACTGATTGCGTTGACAGGAACGTGAGTGATCAGGCCAGCTTTCGCCAAGGTTGACTGAAGTCGACGGTACCGAACGGGCGATGGTCAGAGGCGTGGGCTCAGGATAAAAAAATCAAGGAAAAAGAGAAAAGGTGTAGCATGCATGTAGTATAGGTTGAGAGTCCTGTACTGTATTCGTTGTTGATTGGGTGGTTAGCGCGAAAGCGTACGGGTAGGCGTACTCGGCGACTGGAACGTGAGACGCTAGTCTCGTTCGTACTTCATGAGCCTGCGATCGCACCCGAAGTCAAGGGCGGCGTGGTCTGCTGATCTGAACGGGAGACCGAAGTCTCGTCCATAGATGGTGCAGATGACACACGCTATTGACTGGGACGTGAGAATGAGGTCTCCGATGTATCTAGCGTGGGATCTGAAGTAGATGTAGAGATTTCGCTAGTAATTTTGACGGGTCTAACAATGAGTCTCAACTTATCAGGTAGGTCACTGTCATCAATGTGTGCTGGTTTGAGACGATCAATGCTGACGATCTTGATGAGGCCATGTCGATCAACCTTGAAGGTCTTTTCGTGACGAGAAGTCATGTGAAAAGGTCCTCCGTAACGCTACCGCAAAGGTTTGCGTACCAAATCTACTCGAATGAAAACGTGTGAACAGTTAGATATCTCTCGAGGGAGAGCGACCTGTCGATCTTGTATTCTAGTTGACACCGAAGGCAGTGTTCGCATAAATTCAGACAGTCGTTAGATGTAGTCTGATTTACCAAAGTCGTTACTGCTCCGTGATGTGAAGAATTCCACAGGCAGATGCGATGTCGTGCCGTATACAAGTTCAGCGGCGGAACATTGAATATCCGCCTTTAAGGACGAGCGGTAAGGTTTCGTACTAATTGATGTTTTCGTGTGCTCGAAGAGCACCTTTAAGTTGACGATGAGACCGTTCAACTAAACCAAGTGATGCTGGGTGGTGAGCGGTAGTGCGAACAGTCAGGTCAGCGAGAAGAACAATCCGGACTGGAATTGTTGTCCTCGGTCGGTCGTGACAGTCGAAGTACAACCGTACAGCGCTATCCATCATTCTACGAAGCGGCGACCAACTGTCTTCGCCGTGATAGACGTGATGGGAATAGCTTCGGGCCATCTTGCAAAACGATCGATGAGTGTGAGTATGTGATCATACCCATGCGATGGTGGCAATGGTCCCACAATGTCTGTATGAATGTGATCGAAGCGAGCATCAGGCGTATCGAACGTGTGAATGGGGGCAACTACTTGCCTGTGCAATTTGATCGTTGACACTGTAAGTATTGCTTTACCCACATACGGATATCTTTATTCATGGACGGCCAGACGTAACGTGCAGCCAGGAGGTGTAATGTGGCTGTGATATCTGGATGAGAGAGTTCATGAAGGGCATCGAAGATGAAACGACGGTAAGCGGAGGGTACGATGGGTTGGGGAAAACCAGTAGAAGTATCACAAAGGATAGTAGCTGAGCTAGTAGCTAGGGGTACTTCCAGGCACTGACGAGATATAGAATGTTGTGCTTCTGCATAAGAGGTATCGCTTGCTTGGGCGGCAGCTATAGCAGAAAGATCGAGCACCGGTAAAGTAACTGCATTCACTTGAGTACATGACAGAGAATCAGCAGCATGGTTGGACTCGCCTTTGATGTGACGAAGGTCTGTCGTGAAGTGAAATATATAGTCCAAATGTCTGCACTCTCGTGGTGAGTAGCGGTCAAACTTGGTATGCAGAGCATACGTTAAAGACTTATGGCCGGTGAACAAGATGAAACCGCGGCCTTCTACTGCCGGAAATGTTTGATGGCACAGTAGGCTGCTAGCAGTTCTCAACCTAAAGCGCTATATATCGTCTCCGTGGAATTGAGGCGTCGTGAGAAAAATTCGAGAGGTTTACAACTTCCAGAGATGTTCTGT